TCTCTCTCCTTCCCACTCTATCTGAACAGAAAATGGAAAAATGTCCTCAGATGAGGATTAAAAAAAAAAATGATAAAAATAAATTACTAGAAAAAAGAAATAAAGATAGACATATGAAATACACATCCACCTTTTCATTATTAGATTTAACAAACTTTTGCAAATTGCTACAAGTTTCTAAATGCCCACTTTGAATTTCTGTACTTACCACTGCCCTTGGACCACACTTTGAGCAGCACTGGTCTACATTAGAGCATGTAGTATAATTGTATTTGTGAGCATCTGTTTCACTGAAAATAGTCCTTACAGGGCAAAAGCTTTCTCATGGTCATCCGTATTCCCTACTACCTGGAGCAGAAGGTTTTACATCCCAGCACACTACATATGCACACTTCACTTGGACAGGAACTAAAAAAGAAATTATGGGCAGAAAGAGGCATGACCTTGTAAAAATAACTCAGGCCTGGAAGTCAGACATGGTGACTTTAGATACTCCATGACTTCCTGGCTCTGTGGCTATTGGCAAGTTGTTTAACTGCACCGTGCCTCAGTTTTCTCATCTGTGCAATGGGGATAATAACACACAACTTGAGTCTTTTTTTTTTTTTTAATCCTCACCCGAGGATATTTTTCTATTTTTTGTACAGAAAGAGTGGGAGGGAGAGAGAGGAAGGGAGAGAGAGAGAGAAACATCGATGTGAAGGGACACATCGAGTGGCTGCCACTCGCACGACCAACCAGGGCCGGGGACAAACTGCAACCGAAGTATGTGAGCGGGAACTGAACCCGGGTCTCTCCGGACCGCAGGCCGACGCTCTAACCGCTGAACCAAAGTGGCCAGGGCACACAACTTGAGTCTTGAGGCAGAGTGACACACTGCTGGTAAAGCAATCAACACAATGGCCAATATTCTTACTGCGAGTTCAACTGCAATACAAAGTCAAGTACAAAAATCTAAAAAGCAAACTACAATCTGTAAGTTTTGGGGTAGGCTTTTACTGTAAAGGGCCAGATAAAAAATATTTTAGGTTTTGAGGGCCATAAATTCTCTGCTTCAGCTACTCGATCCTGCCACTGGAGTGTAAAAGCAGCCCTGTGCAACATGTAGAGAATTGAGAGAGGCTGTGTTCTAATACAACTTTATTTATAAACACTGACATTTCAACCTCACATATTTTTCAAACATCACAGAATATTATTCTTCGGAATTTTTTCAACCATTTAAAAATGTAAAAATGATTCTTAACTGACAGACCATACAAAAACAGGTATGAGACTGGATTGGGGCTGCTGGTTTCCGTTTCTTTAGCACAACCCCATGCTAAACCCTTTCTGCCTCAATTCAGTTTAAAATGCTTGCTGTGTATTGTCACCTTGGTTTAATAGGCTGGAGGGGAAGAAAAGGCAGGAAAAGTTGCATCTGCCATTTGCTAAGGCTTTTTTTTTTTTTAATTCAACTTTATTTTGCAATAATTCAGACTTAGGAAAAAGTTGAAAAAACAATAGAAAGAAGTCCTTGATTGATTTCCCTAATGTCAACATTTTACCACATTTGCTTTATGGTTCTGTGTTTGTGTATACACATTTTTTTAAACTGTTTGAGAGTCACTTGCAAAGATGATGACCTTTTGTTTTCTAAAAACATTCTCTTATAAAAACACAGTGCGGTCTGGCCGGTGTGGCTCAGTGGTTAAGCGTCGACCCATGCACCAAGAGGTTGCCAGTTAGATTCCCAGTCAGGGCACATGCCCACATTGTGGGCCTGATCCCCAGTGGGGAGCATGCAGGAGGGGGCCAGTCAATGTTCTCTCTCATCGATGTCTCTCTCTCTCATTCTCCTTCTCCTTTCCTCTCTCTCTCTCTCTCTCTCTAAAAAAAAAAAAAAATCAATAAAGGAAACAATTCTATTTAAAGAAATAAAAAATAAATAAACCAGTGCAATTATCAAAATAAATAAATTAATGTGAAACTATTATTTAATCTTTAGATCTTTTACCCTTATCAAAATCAGGAAATTTACCTGCAGGCCTAATTCTAATTTCATCAGCTGCCCCACTAACATTCTGTATGTGCCAAATGTCTTAACAGATATTGCCTTTTATAACTCCCCCAACAATCCAGTGAGTTTGATATAATCCTTATGTTACCAGTGAAGGAGCTAAGGCTCAGAGAGGTTAAATAACTTGCTCACCATAACACAGATACTGAGTGGCAGAGCTGGAATTCCAATCCAAGTGTGCCTGACTCCAAAACAAAGCCCTTGCTCCTTAGCTCTAGATGAGGACTGCTGAGTTTAGAAAGGACTTCAAAATATAAGACGAAGGAGTCTGTATTCCAGGCAAGAAAAGAACCTGTGAAAGGAAAGCCAGGGACTGTTTCTCAATCTCTCAAGGAAATGTCCAGTGGAAAAGGAGAAGAGAATGAGTAAATAGAATTGTAGCTATTTTGTTATACAATGTATACATTTTAAAAAAACACAGCTAAGGTTATTTTTTAACTTTTTAAAAGTAATAACATTGCCCTGGCCGGTTTGGCTCAGCAGTTAGAGCATCAGTCTGCGGACCAGAGTCCCGAGTTCAGTTCCAGCTAAGGGCACGTATCTCGGTTGCAGTTTATCCCCACCCAGGTTGGGGTCCTGCAGGTGGCAGCCAGTTGATGTGTCTCTCTCACATCAATGTTTCTCTCTCTCTCACCCCCCCCACCCCCCGCTCTATCTGTAAATGCAAAAATGTCCTCTGGTGAGGATAAAAAAAAAAAGTAATAACATTATAACTTATTTTAAAAATAGATACAGAAAGCAACATACAAATAAATAACTTAATGAGTTATATTATGGCTTATAACCTACTTGTAACCATCCTCTAGTTCAAGAAACAAAACTTCCGCCCTGGCCGGTTTGGCTCAGCGGTTAGAGCGTCCGCCTGCGGTCCGGAGAGACCCGGGTTCGGTTCCCGCTAAGGGCATGTACCTCGGTTGCAGTTTGTCCCCGGCCCTGGTTGGTTGTGCGGGTGGCGACCACTCGATGTGTCCCTTTCACATCGATGTTTCCCTCTCTCTCTCTTCCTCTCTCTCCCTCCCACTCTGTCTGTACAAAAAATGGAAAAACGTCCTCGGATGAGGATTAAAAAAAAAAAAAAAGAAAGAAAGAAACAAAACTTCTGACCCAAAGCTAGTGGTAACCAGTGATCCAGGACAAGTTAACTCACAGCACAGAGCCTTTGATTTTCCAAGTGTAAAAAGTGTTTGAACGAGGTGGTGCAGAGTCTCCAGAAGTGCAGGTTTATTGCGAATCAGCCTGCCGGACTACCTCTAAGGAGAGAGTAGCAACCAGCTTCTACAGACTAGGGATTTTTAAATTTAGGGCTGGGGAGGGGGGGTGCTGGTGTTCAGCTGAGGAGATGTGGTTGTCTTTGATTGGTTGGGCCTGGGGTCTCCTGAGTTCTTGATTGGTCAGGGGCTGGGGTCTCCTGAAACGTGTTTTTCTTGTTGAGGGACCGTTTGCAATTTTGGGTGGGTTAGGGTGGTTCCATCATTCTGGTCCACCTAACTGGAGTGATGGGTTTTGGTTTTATGGAATGAGAAGCTTAGGGCAGTAATATGGAAGTTAAGAGCTAACAAAAAGAGATAATACTACAGTCATACACCACATAATGACATTTAGGTCAACAATGGACCAATAGTGGTACCACAAGATTGTAACAGAGCTGAGTAAGTCCCATTACCTCGTGATGTAGCCATTGAAACGTCCTAGCACAACACATTTCTCATGTGTTTGAGGTGATGCTGCTGTAATCAAATGTACCGCACTGCCAGTTGCATCAAAAGTATAGCACAATTATGTACAGTACATTTTACCTGATAATAATAATAAGCAGCAGTGTTACTGGTTTATGTATTTACTATACTATACCTTTTATTGTTGTTTTAGAGTGTACTCTTTTACTTATAAAAAAGAGTTTGTTGTAAAATAATATGCCATGTTTACTGCGTCTCTTGGTTGCATTATTTTCTCTTGTGCTTGATTTATTCTCATACTGCTTTTCGTACAGTAATATGTTGTATAGATTTGTAATCTAGGAGCAATGGGCTATACCACATAGCCTAGGTGTGCAGTAGGCTACACCATCTAGGTTTGTGTAAATGATGTTCACACAATGACAAAAGCACCTAATGTTGCATTTCTAAGACTGTATCTCTTAAGGGGCACATGACTGTATTTTACCCTGATTTGACAGATCTGCCTACATGACATCACAGGGCTATTGAGAGGCTCAAGTGTCGAACTGAAAGGTGGGAGGTGCTGTTCTTATCTCTCAAACCCAACAATGACATAATATTTCTGCAGGTCCTGGTGCTTTGACGGTTGTCATTTGTAATGATCTTACCACAGCTGAAACATACCTCTAAATTCCTCAGTAACCTAGAACAATGGTTTTCAAACTTTAGCATGCACCAAAAAAACCTGGACAGTTTGTAAAAATACAGATTTCTGGGCCTCATCCCTAGAGTTTCTGACTGAGAGTTTCTGGGGTTGGGCCCTGGAATTTGCATTTTTAAGAAGTTCCAGGTATACAGTTGGTCCAGTGACTACAATTTGTGGACCCCTGGTTAGAGTCTTTTGGAGAATTCGGCATGTAGGGCTCGGATTCTATCTGGTCCACTCAGGTTTATCTGGTCTCAACTCCCCCCTTCTGTCCTCTGGGGAGCAAGGAGACCCTGGTTAAAGTCCAACCCTAGGGAGTGTGTGTTATCAAGCTGCTGACAGCGTGCCTCCTGATTGCCTTTGCAAAGGGTCTGGCGTAGGCGAACAAGGACCAGATAACAGTGTACGGAGTCACGCGGCTGCACGTGGCCTCCAGGCACGGCCTGCTCGGCTCCCCGCCCCCGGCTCTGCTGTCGCGGCTGCTGTCGCGGGGCGGAGCACAGGGCGGAGCGGGCTCCCGGCTGCGGCCAGGACTGGCGAGAGGCGGTGTCAGGCCGCGGGTCCTCAGTCTAGTGACGCCGAGCGGCTGGCCCCGGCGCCGACTGCGGTGGACCGAGAGGCTGGAGGATGGACCTGCCGGGGCTCGTTCGCACCCTTTCCCTGCTGCTGGCGTTGCTGCTGCTGGGCTCTGCGCGCGCCTTGCGTGTAAGTCCACAGGACCCCCAGGCGGGGGTGCGTTGATAAGGGAGATGAGGCGGCGGACCAAGCCGGGCTGCGGCCGAGAGGGAGCCTGCAGGGCGGTGGCCCGGGGCCCGGCTGCACCCCGGCGGCAGGCCGGCTGCGGAGCGCAGGCAGTGGACTGGCCTTCCCGTCGGGGGCGGGCTGGGCGGGGCGCGCGTCCTTCCCGGTCGGCTGTGGCTTGTGTGTTCCTCTCCCGCCGCTGGTTTCGCTTGGACCCACGTCCCCAAGAGTGCCAGGCGGGGGTGAGGTGAGGTGCGCCCACACCCTTCCAGCTTTGCAATTTCCCAGGAGAGGGAAGGCCACGTAGCGCGCATTGTTGGAGGAAACCTCGGGCTCCGGCTTGGGGCGCCCTCCCTTGCCCAGTGTGAGCTCTGCGGGGCGCTCCGGAAGGAGAAAGATGGGGTCAGGAGAGGTCCTCGCAATGGGATCTTTGGGGTAATTTCTTTCGAGGCGGTCACTTGTCAGCGTCTCGTGAGCTTCTGTGCACGCCCCCCTCCCCCCGCCCGCCTCCTTTTTTGGCTTGGATTTTCCTAACCTTGGGGGCTGACGGCCCAGGCCGAGGGCGGACGGGCGGGCTGCAGGAGGCGGGGCTGCAGGAGGGAGCAGCGGAGGGGTGGGGGCACGCTTGGCGGGAGAAGGACAGCAGGGAATTGAAACCGGCACCTGTCCCTCTGCACGCTCAGCGAACCAACTTTGGTACTTGCAGAGTCTGGGTGGGCTGAGTCTGGGGCACGTTTTAAGTAGAAGTGAAATTTGGGCCTGTTGACTTGTCAGTTACACCCTTTGATCAAAGGCTCTGAATAACTTGCCTGAAGCAAAGCGATGCGTTTACATAAAACCTAGAGGTTAAGGATCTTAAGTATGTGGAAAACACCTGCTGAAAATATTTTAATTTAGTGTCCTCCTTGGGAAAGGGTCACCTCAAATGGAGTCTTTGCTAAACCCCTGTCTACAGGGGTCTGTGGCTCCTCTGCCCCAGATTTTTGGCTGGGAGGCCTGGAGGAACCCCCCAGATGAAAGCTAGTGAGAACCGCTGGGAACAGTGGCAGAGACAGATGGGTGGGGGGAGACAGATCTTTATATTTAGGTAGGCTGTGGAAGGAAGGAGATGGATCTGTGGGCCGGGAGCTGGTGGACAAGGCAGTCCCTGAGCAGTGGTTGCTCATCAGTCAGCAGCGGTGCCCTCTGACTGCCAAGGCCCACGCAGAGAGGCGCCTCACCCCAGGATTCTTCAGTGTCTAGGTGTCCCTCCCGGGGCCCAGAGCTGAAGAAACTACCAGCAGACACGCTCCCAGTGATTTCCTTGTTTACATTTATTCACAGCAGCGGTTCTCAAACTTTAACTGCCCTTGAAATGAAAACTAAATTTATTTATTTTTAATATGTTTTTATTTATTTGTTTAGAGAGAGGAAGGGAGAGAGATAGAAACATCCATGTGAGAGAGAAACATGGATCAGCTGCCTCCTGCACACCCCCTACTGGGGATCAAGCCCGAAACCCGGGCATGTGCTCTGACTGGGAATGGAGCCGGGTCCTGTCCGTCCATGGGATGGCGCTCAATCCGCTGAGCCACTCCGGCTGGGCAAGACTAAATTTAAAATTATTTACTAGTTTATTTCAGAAATAATACATCTATTACATGTTAAGAATCTTATGGTTTTTTTGGGGGGGGGGTAACAGTGTTTCTCCCCGAATTTTAGGGCAAAGAGTGGTATTGGTTTTCACTTTTGTAAATCTCTTTCGTGTCTGTCTTTTTTTTTTTTTTAATTTTTTTTTTTTATCCTCATCCGAGGACATTTTTCGATTTTTTATTCAGATAGAGTGGGAGGGAGAGAGAGAGAGGAGAGAGAGAGAGAAACAACGATGTGAAAGGGACACATCGAGTGGCTGCTACCCGCACGACCCAAGCAGAGCTGGGGACAAACTGCAACCGAGGTGCATGCCCTTAGCGGGACCCGAACCCGGGTCTCTTGGGACCGCAGACCGACGCTCTAACCGCTGAGCCAAATCGGCCAGGGCTCGTGTCTGTCTTAATAGATGACAGATTCTCACGACTGCGTCAGCATTCACTGTTGCCCTAGCATACGTCATGTAGCCTCTGAAAAGCTCCTCTGTACACCCGTGAGAGAATGAGAGAGGAAAGGCAGTTATGTCCTAGTATTATTATGAAAACAATTTTAACTAAATGGACCCCCTGAAAGGGTCTCGCTGACCACGCTTTGAGAACCGCTGATTTAGAATACTGTTTTCCTTATTATGAAAGAAATTCCATACGCGTTGTGGAAAAACTAAATATTCAGAAAACTGGAAAGAAGAAAATGAAAATTGCCCATCATGTTACAATTCATTGTGTTTGTATTTTAATAATAAAGTGTCGTCACTGACTGGTGGCTTGGATTCCAGGCAGGTTGGGCAGATGTCAGTGGCCTTCAGGTTTTGAATGGGGACAAGAAAGCTCTAATATTCCACAACGCTGATGCCAGTTCCTGGTTGCAGGCGGACCTGACCTGGAACTCTCTCCTTGGCCAGTCCTTTCTAAGGAATTCACCTTCCAGAGCCCACCTGCACAGACCTGCCAGGGGACCCTCTTAGGAGCAGAGAAAATGGTGATCTTCAGGCAGCTCTCCCTGGGTGTGAAGGCTGCCCTGGCGGCTGGCACTGTCTTCGTGTCCATGATTATCTCCCGCTCCTACCTGTCTGAGAGCCTGGAGCTCAGGGCCTGGCGTTGGCTGTTCCGCCTCCAGCTTGCCCTGTTTGTCAACTCGCTCATGCTTATTGGCTCCCTCTACATCTGGCGTAGCACAGTCAGCAACCTTAGCCATTCCCCAGCCACAGAGTCAGCCTGTTTTCATCTTTGGAAGATGGCTGTTGTGACATTTCTGGCCCTGGCCCACTCTAGCTCCTTCACCATGCTCTTCTTAGTGGCCGAGGAACCCTATCTCTTTTCCTTGGCCGCCTACTCCTGCCTCGGGGCCTACATCATCATGCTCTTCTTCCTCTGTACCCTCAGCGGCATGGAGCAGGCCTACCAGCTCTTGGCTTGGCGCAGTGGTAGGGTCGTGGGCAGCCTTGACAAGACGAGGAAGCTGGCACTCAGGCCAGCCCTGGCAGTGGTGGTGACCGCCATACTCAGCATAGCCGGGCTTCTGAATGCTGCCCAGCCCCCAGTGGTGAAAACCGTGGAGGTGCCCATCCACCAGCTGCCGCCCTCGATGGACAACCTCAAGATTGTGCTCCTCTCAGACATTCACTTGGGCCCCACGGTGGGCAGGACCAAGATGGAGATGTTCGTGAGGATGGTGAACATGCTGGAGCCGGATGTCACGGTGATCGTGGGTGACCTCTGTGATTCAGAAGCCTCGGTCCTCCGGACAGCTGTCGCTCCTTTGGGCCAGCTTCGTTCACGCCTGGGCGCCTACTTCGTCACAGGGAATCATGAATACTACACGTCAGATGTCAGCAACTGGTTTGCATTGCTGGAGTCCCTGAATGTCAGGCCCCTTCACAATGAGAACGTGAAGATTTCTGCCACTCGGGCCCAACGCGGCGGTGGTGAGGATGATGACTGCATCTGCTTGGCCGGGGTGGATGACATTGAAGCAGACATCCTGCACTACTCTGGCCACGGCATGGATCTGGAGAAGGCCCTGGGGGGCTGCAACCCAGACCACGCCACCATCTTGCTCGCTCACCAGCCCCTGGCTGCCAAGAGAGCCCTTCAGGCTCGGCCGGACATTAACCTGATCCTTTCTGGGCACACGCATGCGGGGCAAATCTTCCCCTTGAACGTGGCATCCTATCTCCTGAACCCCTTCTTTGCTGGCCTCTACCAGGTGGCCCAGACCACATTTGTGTATGTCAGCCCAGGCACGGCCTACTATGGCATCCCCATGAGGTTGGGTAGCAGGGCGGAGATCACAGAGCTCATCCTGAAGCGGGCTCCCTGAGCCTGGCCCTACCCCGCAGGCATCTTTATCTTGATCACCCTTGCCCTCACTCTCCCTCCCTTGTCACAGCGGGTTGCCTGCTTCACGCCCTCCAGCCTTGCCTGCCCCGCCCCGCTGATACACCCTAGTCCAGCCTGGCTTGAACAGTGATTTGTGGTAAGGCTGCCTAGCAGGTTACTTTGTAGATGGCCAGTTGCTTCTTTATATGCATTTATGAGGCCACCAAAGTCACACATGTAAGAACAGGGCATCTATTTTCCAGATGATGTGAAGTAAACCCTCCTCCTCTGCAGCGCTCCCAGGAATAAACCGAAACTTGGGGTTGCTTGAAAGGGATGCCTCTAGAAAATAGAGCAGGGGAGGAATTCCAAGTGATTTTTAAACTCTCTTTAGGACTCAGGCAGTTCCCAGCATCACTGATGCAGAGCTTTCTGGGTACAGGGCACGTTGCTAGGTAAGCGGGGAGAGCAGGCAAGACGGAGGCCCCTCTGGCTGCTGGAGAAGAATTTTCTTCCCCTCCCCACCCCTTTGGATCAGAGTCCCCTTTATTGAGGAAACCAGCCAAACCTGCTGGAATAGAGTTCATCCTAGTCCAGACCTTGAGCGATGCTACTTCACTGTCTGTGCTCCCCTGGGCCTCGGGGTGGGGGTGGGGAGGAAAGAGCACTATTGTGCGTGATGGTAATAGCGCTGCACGGGGACTCAGAGGGTGTTCACCCCCTTTTCTACAATTCGGTGACGAGATTAGGGGCCGGCTCCTTTTCCCCATTTAGAGATGAGGAAATAGCAAAGAGCCGTAGGTAGGGCGTTGGCAACATGACAAGGTGTGTAGGACATCCTGGGCTAGGAGGTACCCAAGGCATCTGCCTCGCAGTGAAAATGTTCTTTCCACTGTCTGGTGGTTCCGGATTCAGACAGTTACCGGAAGTATGAGAATGAGGGCCTGGAACCTGATGTTCTTTCAAAGTGGTTTGCTTGAGTTCACCCAGAACTCCATGGGCCGGGGCCGGGAAGGGACCTGGTTTCAGGCCAGTGCAGGGTGTCTTTACGTTGGAGGAAGAGTCAGGAAATGAGCCCCACCCCAGACCCAGGTTTGGGTCTGGTGTGTGTGTGTGTGTGTGTGTGTGTGTGTGTGTGTGAGAGAGAGAGAGAGAGAGAGAGAGGGAGAGAGGAGGGAGGGAGAGAGAAAGGAGGGAGGGAGAGAGAAAGAGGGAGAGGGAGGGAGGGAGAAACTGAGGCTCACTCTCTACCAGTGGGGAAGTTGCATGGGGAGTGGCAGGGCCTGGAGGCCTTGCCTCCTGCTGGGTCCCCTGGTGTGCGGGGTCCTTCCCGGCCTGTCCTACCACTCTGGCCACAGAATCATAGGGCCATCTCTGGACCCATAGAAAAACAGGCAGAGGTTACTGTGTCCAGAGTGACCTCACCTCTGTTGGTCGGGCCCTTGTGCCAGAATCAAGAGACCTTTGGAAAGACCCCTCTGAGAAGACTGAAGACCTGGGCTCTGCAATTGGCATTTTTGTGACCAAGAGTCTTTCTCCCGCAGGGAAAAGTCACCACTCTGACAAGGGGTTCACCCTGCTGCTCACCATCAGGCTGTGCTGGGCAAATGATTTGACCTCACTGAGCCTTGGCTTCCCTCACCCTAAAATGGGGGTGATTATCATATCTACCTCAAGTCTGTTTCGTGGGGAGGGCACTGAGACCGGGCACCTGAGTTGCACGTGCACACTCACCATGGAAGCACTCAGTGTTGTTTGCACACGTCACAGTGGGGCTTGCCAAAGGACTGTTGGGTACAGGTGCCCCGGGAATTTATGGAGCAGACAGTCCTGGAGAATGTGAGTGGGTCCCAGCGATTTGCTGGGGGTTTGCTTTCCGGTGCCAGTGTTGCTGTGTCCTGTGCACGCCCTGCCTGTTGGATAGGCAGGAATCCCCGGGGGTCCTGAGACTACCCTTCTTATTTCCGAAGTATTGACAGCAGGCCTGTCCGTCCAGCGTAACTAGTTCTTCTCTATTAGACACAAACAGGTCCACCCTCTGTGTCCAAGGGATGGTTGGCAGCACCTTCTCGTGCTTGGCTAGTATTCCGTGATGTGGGAGTTTGCGGCAGACGCGTCTCCATTACTGCCCAGATACGGCCCTGAAGGCCGCTCTCCACGGCACCCTCTGTACCTCTGTTCTTCCCCCACTTACTTTCTTCGTTTGTTTGTGGCTGGAGGAGGTGGTGAGAAATATTTACTGAGACCTTAACAATTCTTTCCATTTCTTTTTGGTTTCATTTTAGTTTAAAAAACAACCTGTAAATGCAAGCTAAAATGAAATGTGTTTTTAGAAAATGAACAATGGCATGTGTAAAATTTTTATTACATTAATCCCACTGCTGTCCATTCCAAACATCCATCCAGCTCCCCCCCTTATTTGTTTTAAACTTTTTATTATGAAAATTTTTAAATATTCACAAGGTAGAGAGAACAACATCCTGAGTCCCCATGTACTCATCACCCAGGTCAACAATGGACTGTTCTGCTCTTTCCCATTTATTCCTGCCACACATTTTTTTCTTTTCTTTTTTCTTTTTCCTTTTTGGCTGGACTGTATTAAGGCAAATCTTAGAAAATATAATTTTACCCCAATATACTTCAGTAAGAATTCTCTCTAGAAAAGTATCTACATAATGCTGTTATAGCCAATGAAATTAACAGTAACATTCTTTAAGATCGTCTAGTACCTAGAAGGAAGCCAAGACTTCTACCTCTCAATAAAAGTGTTTTTCCCACTGTCTGAGGGGTAAATAACTGTATTTGTTACAGATTAGTAACAGGATTCAAATGCTAAAGAGTTAGTATTCAGTTTTCCCTGCTTATCTCAATTGTCTTTTTTTTTTTTTTTAAACTGGTAAAAAGCACATAAATGATACATTAAAATGTATCATCTTAATGATTTATAAGTATATAGTTCAGTAGTGTTGAGTATATTCACACTGTTGTGAAACAGATCTCCAGAGCTTTTTTATCTTGTAAATCTGAAACTCTATACCCATTAAACAACTTCTCTTTTCCCTCCCCTCACCCCTAATAATCACCATTTTATGTTCTGTTTCTATGAATTTGACTACTATGGGTACCTTACATAAGTGGAATCACACACTGTTTTTTTGTGATGGCTTATTTCATGTAGCATGATGTCCTCAGTGTTCATCCATGTTGTAGTTTGTGCCTTTCTAAGGCTGAATAATATTAATTGTATGTATATATCACATTTTGTTTATCCAGTCATCCATCAGTGGACATTTGGGTTGCTTCCACCTTTTTAAAAATATTTTTTATTGATTTTTAGAGAGAGGAAAGGAGAGGGAGAGAAACATTGATGTGAGAGTGAAACATCTATTGGCTGCCTCCTGCATGCCTCCTACTGGGGATCGAGCTGCAACCCAGGCAGCCTGGGCGTGTGCCCTGACCAGGAATCAAACCAGCAACCTTTCCATGCATGGGGTGGTGCCCAACCAACTGAGCCACACTGGCCAAGGCTGCTTCCACCTTTTTTTGTCTATTGTGAATAATGCTGCTATGAACATGGGAATGCAAATATCTCTTCAAGACTTTGCTTTCTATTTTTCTGGATGCATACCCAGAAGTCAGATTGCTGGATTATATAGTAGTTCTGTTTTTCATTTTTTGAGGAACCTCCATACTGTTTTTCACAGTAGTTGAACCATTTTACAATTCCACCAACAGTGCACAAGGGTTCTGATTTCTCTCTGTTTTCACAGAACTTGTTATCATTTTTGTTAGTAGTGTGAGGTGATAACTTGCTATGGTTTTGATTTGCATTTCTCTGATGATTAGTAATGTTGAGCATATTTTCTTATGCTTGTTGGTCATTTGTATATCATCTTTGGGGAAATGTCTAAGTCTTTTCCCCATTTTAAAATAGATTAATTGACTTTTTGTTGTTGTTGAGTTGTAAGAGTTCTTTTTATATTCTGTATATTAATTCCTTATCAGATATATGATTTGCAGATATTTTCTCCTATCCATAGACTTTGCTCTGTTGCCATTCATGGGCAAAAGTTTTTAAGGATGCCCCATTTGTCTATTTTTGCTTCTGCTGCTGGGCTTTTGGTATTATAATCAAGACATCATTGCCAAGTCCAATATCATGAAGTTTATGATCCATTTTTAGTTCATTTTAATAGATGTAAGATAAGGGTCCAACTTCATTCTTCTGCATGCGGATATCTAGTTTTCCCAACACCATGTGTTGAAGAGACTGTTCTTTTCTCATTGAATGGTCTTGACACCCTGGTCAAAGATCATTTGAGCATATATGTGAGGGTTTATTTCTGGCCTTTTTATTCTATTCCATTGGTATATTTGTCTGTCTTTATGCCAATACCACAGTGTTTGATTACTGTAGTTTTGTAATATATTTTGAAATCAGAAGTGTGAGTTTTGCAGCTTTGTTCTTCTTTTCATTATCTTAGCTATTTGGGGTTTCTTAAAATTCCATATGAATTTTAGAATGAACTTTTCTTTGATAGAGATTGCATTGAATATGTAGATCACATCACATTGGGTAGTATGAACAGTTTAACAATACTGAGTCTTCCAATTCATCAACATGAAATGTCTTTCCAAAGTATTTTATTCTTTTTGATGCTGTTGTAAGTGGAATTGTTGTCTTTAATTTTCTTTTTGGATTGTTTGTTGTCAGCATGTAGAAACACAGTGATATTTTTATGTTGATTTTGTATCCTACAACTTTGCCAAATTCATTTATTAGTCTAACAATTATGTTTTTGGTGTGTAGAATCTTCTATATATAATATCATGTCATCTGTGAACAGATAATGTTACTTCTTCCTTTCCAGTTGAATGTCTTTTATTTACTTTTCTTGCCTAGTTACTCTGGCTAAGACTTCTAATACTTTGTTGAATAGAAGTGGTGATAGCAAGCATCCTTGCCTTGTTTCTGATCATAGAAGAAAAGCTTCAGACTTTCACCATTGAGTATGTTGTTAGCTGTGGACTTTCATGTATGACCTTAATTATGCTGAGCTAATTTCCTTCTATTCCTAGCTTGCTGTTTTATCATGAAAAGGTATTGAATCTTGGAAAATCTATCTCTACCTCAATTGAGATGATCATATGGGTTTTGTCCTTAATTCTGTTAATATGGTGTATTACATTGATTGAGTTTCATATGTTGAACCATTCTTGCATTCCAAGAATAAGTCTCATATTGTCATAGCGTATAATCCTCTTAATGTGTTGTTGAATTTAGTTGCTGGTATTTTGTGGAGGATTTTTACATCCATATTCATCAGCGTATCGGTTTATACTTTTCTTATTATGTCTTGTCTGGCTTTGATATTAGGGTAATGTTGGCCTCATAGAATGAACTTAGAAGTGTTGCCTCCTGTTCACTTTTATGGGAGAGTTTCAGGAGGATTGGTGTTAATTCTTCTTTAAATATTTGATAGAATTCTCTAGCAAAGCCATCTATCTGATCCTGGGTTTTTCTTTGAGGATTTGCAGTTACTGATTCAATCTTCTACTAGTTATTGGTTTGTTTATATTAGATTGTTCAGATTTTCTCTTTCTTCGTGATTCAATCTTGGAAGTTTACGAGTTTTTAGGAATTTATCTATGTCTTCTAGGTTATCCAATTTATTGGCATATAGTTGTATATACTAGTCTCTTATAATCCTCTTTATTTCGATGATATCAGTTTAATGTTTCCTCTTTCATTTCTAATTTTAATTATTCAGGTCTTTTTTCTTAGTTAATCAAGCTAAAGATTTGTTGATCTTTTCAAAAAACAACTCTTAATTTTATTGATTTTTTTTTCCTATTGTTTTTCTGTTCTCTATTTCATTTATCTTTGCTCAAATCTTGATTATTCTCTTCCTTCAGTTAGCCTTGGATATATTTCTCCTTTGGTTTTTGTGAGGAATTATGTCTCTTTACAATTCTTTTGTTTGAATCAGGGTCCAAAAACAAGGTCTTTATATTGTTTGTGATATATTTCTTAAGTCTCTCTGAGTCTGTAAAATACCCTCCTCTCTTATTTTGTGTCATTTATTTATTCAATTTATCAGGCTATTGTATCTTAGAATTTCCAACATTTCGGATTT